CATGTACCTTTTAGCCAATCAGCCAGTTGTAGAGGCTAGGCAGCAATGAAGCCAAGGAACTGAGTCCTTTACCTCAGATTGGATATAAATAAAGAGAGGATTTTGTCTCATGAACTATTGTCCATGGACCGTCATGCTAGTCAGTCAGATCCTGGCCTACCCACTTAAGTTTTTTTGCAGGCACCCATATGGGGTTTGAATCTCCTGTAGGGTAGACACAGCCAAAGCCTCGACCCACGGTTAGCAATGGATCTGGGCCTCTCCATTGCCCTGTAATGGGGTCCTTCCACCTTACACGTACCTCAGGTCTCTGCTCTTGTCGTCCCCAGTGCTTCTGAAACCGGGATTCCAACTGATTTTTTTGAAAATTAAGAATATTAATAGTGAATAAGGCCATACCCAACTGTTGGTGGGGGCTTATTCCCCCTTTTTGTTTTTGTAATTGAAGTTTTAGGTTTTGATGTTTGCAAAGCACTGGAGAAAGTGAGACTGAGCATGTTTAGACTTCTATCCTGTATGAGTGGTAGCCCAACAGGCATGTGAGAATGTGTTGATGGACACGAAAATATACTTAAGCTTTCCAAAAGGAGCATAGTGTGTGACATCCATTTGCCACAAGGAATTGGGCTTGAGTCGCCTGGGGTTTACCCCTGTCTTTCCAAAAGGAGCATAATGTGTGACCTCCGTTTGCCACAAGGAATTGGGCTTGAGTCCCCTGGGGTTTACCCCTGGCTGTTGCAGAGGCAGTACCTATACACAATAAGCCATCTTGTCTGCCTCTGCATTGTCTTGGGATAAAAGCCCAGGCAACCCTTGGTGCCCCTTAAGATGCTGGAAGAAAATAGGGGCTTCTCTCTCTTTAAGGAGTGTACGAGTCTGAATACTGTCAGAAAGCAGTGGCCATGAGTTCCTTGAATTGAGCTGAGCCATCACAAGTGTGGACATTGCTTTTTGGTTTCTCATCTGCCCCTGGGTATACTACCACTGCAGCTCCAAATCTGCCCCCATTGGTGAAAACATTGTAGGCTTTCACTAAGGACTCCCTTGGCCCTGGGATTCGGCGAGTGCTGCTGGCGGCAGGGCTGTGACACTTGGGGGTGGGGTGGTTCCCTGGCCACCCATGGAATAGACAGGACCCCCTCCCCAAGCCACCTTCTTCAAACCGGGCCTTCCCAGCCATCCCAGAGCCGGTCGCGGCGACCGCCAAAAGTGGTTTTTTTGTTTTTGTTTTTGTTTTGTTTTGTTTTAAATGCACTGGGCGGCCGCTGCCGGTCACCGGCCAGGGGACAGTCCCCTGCCCAGCTTTCACGTGGGCCTCTGACTTGCGAGGGCCCACCCTCGGGTCGGGTGGGCGGCTCTTGCCGCCGACCCCATGAACTCTGCTCTGCCCCACCCTTCTGAAAAAGATATCCATGGGTCCTGTTTTCATGGGTCCCTGGAGACCCTGAAGCTGGCCAGGGCACACCCAAGGTGCCGCTTGTTACTTTGGCTGCTTTTGGTTTGGTTTCACTTCTGTTGCATTTCCACGTTCTTCCTCAAACTCTCCCCATGATTCCCATGTATCCCCAGTAAAAACATTAACCCCAAGTAGCCAGGGAGCCAAATGAATCGCCTCTGCCCAAACCTTTTGAGCTACCGGATTTGACAAATTTAATCCCCTGCTTTTAAGCATATCTCTCAGTGATTTAAGCGCAGGGTCCTCCGGCTTATTAGTTGTGCTACCCATCTTTCCAGGTCTCACTTACCCCGAACTTCCCATTTTTCTTCTTTCTTTTCTTCTTTTCACCTTCCTTCAAGCACCACGCTGGGTGCGAGTTACTGGGGGTTTGAGCCAGTGACCCCTGCGCAGTGATGACTGGGGATGAGTAAGCACGCTGTTCACCAGCCCACCACCCCCAGTACCAGGGACACTCAGACAAAATGGAGAGCCTAGTCAAGCAGGGACTCATTTATTGCAGGTGTTACAGAGCTTATAAAGGCACCTGGAAATAACCCCTACCACCACCGAGGGTGTATGTTAAGGATGGTCACGCACTGATCATGCACTCCTCAGCAGTGCAGAAGTGTCCTTCAGACTTTTAAAACAAGTCAGGCCATGCCCCAGTAACTTCCTCTCAGACCTCTGCAAGGTGGGCCCTTTAGGTCCCCACAATGGGGCAATTATTTCAAGATGGAAGCTTGCTTGAATAGCAGCATTAGTAAGTTCTAGTTTTTTTTCAGCCTAAGAAATATTAGAATAATTAATATAAATATTTATGATTACTAGCAGGCATGATCATACAAGATACGAGACTCAAGAGTATCCTTTCTGTGAGATGGGAAATAGCTGTAGGACAAAATACTAATTTTCTATTGGTTCAAGTACAGCAATGACACGAACAGCTGTTATTCCATTAGACACATTTTTCATTGTTCAGTTTTCCTTTGACAGAGATTATACAAGGAGAACTATGAGAAGACAAAGGCAAAAAGTATGAACTACTGTGAGACACCTAAATACCAACTCGATACCCTGCTGAAGAACTTCAGTGAGGTTCGAAAGGCCACTGTCATGTCTGGGTGGGAAGGATTTCCTGTTGCTTGAAAAATCAGTATTAACTTAAAGTATGTGTGCTTTCTTTTTTAGGCTAAATATAAAGATTCATACGTAAAGAATATTTTGGGCCATTATGTAGGCAGTTTTGAGGATCCATATCATACCCACTGCATGAAAGTTTCTGCTCAAAACAGTGATGTAAGTTTGAAGCCAGTTACTCGCACCCCGCGGTGACGTTGCCCAGGAGCAGTTAGTGATCCTGGTCTGGTTTGTTCTCTCTCGTTACAGAAGAGTTACAAAGCAGAATATGAAGAAGATAAAGGGAAATGCTATTTCCCTCAGACAATAACTCAAGAATATGAAGCTATCAAGAAGTTGGACCAGTGTAAAGATGTAAGTCATCTGTTCTGTCAAAGTAGGTTTGAGATTCTTGTGACGTCTAGTGACAAATTTAACAGGAGTTTAATGCTATCACCTAGTGGCCAGGATGAGATATGCAACTTAAATTTCACTTTTTGGGTGGAATTGTGAAACACAGAGAAGTCCATTGGGTAGGAAGTAGGTTCAGGTTTTATGTTTTAATTTTCTCTAGTTTATAATTCTATACATCCATATCAAAAGAAGAATATGCAGGTTTGTGAGAATCCAGGTGTTATTACTCAGCAAAATTATAGAGGGTGGAGGACAGGACATGGGCGGGACAAAGGTGTGCCAGGCACTGTCCTTGGTCCTGGGGACTAGAGAACAAGTGATCTGGAAGGTCCACTGGAGTGGAAGAGGCAGGCAGTGAACAAAAAAGCAAGAAAGATACTGGGCAATGGTTAGAAAACAAATACAAGATAGCGATGCAGAATTAGACTAGGGTGATGAGAAGCGATTAGGGGGTCCGGGGAGGTCTGAGCGTAGACTCTTCTGCCATACCAAGACCAGGGACAGAGAAGCAGGAAGAACAACCTGAAGACAGAGGAGGCTGAGATGTGCTGTGCAGGAGAATATCGAGAGGGGGAAGGAGGGTGGGCTACAGAGCTCATAAACCAAAGCCCAGCCTAGACTGAACCCAGCGCAGAGCCACTGCAGGGTTCCAGCAGCGTGAAGGTTAACTGAGTTGCTTAGATGCAGCAGAAAACTCAGAGACAGTTGCCTTTTGGCTAGATCAAGTGTAGAACCTGGAGGCAACTTCAGGAGGAGAGATAAAGGAAGGGAAGGAGAGGAAAAGTGAAAAAGAGGAAGTAACATCGTATCTGATTTTTAGGAATAAAATTAATGCTTTGGCTGAAAACTTCTCATACATTAATGCATATGAACAAGACTGTAAAATTTCACGAAAGGACATCTTCTTTTCTAGCATACCTACAAAGTGCACCCGGATAAGACTAAATTCACAGCAGTCACTGATACTCCTGTGCTGTTGCAAGCCCAGCTCAACACCAAGCAGCTCAGTGATGTAAGTGCCTTGATTCATGCAAGAGGGGGTGACCTTTGGCACTCAGCTTCCTGGAAATGTCAACATTTACATGCTTGGTGTTCGTAGACTCATCTGCCATGCTGGTAATGCCGCTTTTCAGATTTTGCTTAATAAAATGCACATGAAGCTGCGAGTAGCCTGAGGAGCAGAGCAGTAAAATAATTGGTAGTTTTTCAGTGACTCACTGATTTTTTCATAGGAAGAACTACTTACTCACTACAGTCTGTCACATACACTCTAAAACTTCATGCTGTTTAAGCAAATAGTGCTTACAGAGGCATCCATCTGATAGGCAAAAGGCAAGTATTCCCATTCTAGTAAGGTCACAAAGATTTTATAAAAGGGAAAAGAGCACAGTACAACAAAGCATTATTTCAGACAGCAAGGGAACTAGAAGAGAATGGTGCTAGAAAATTAAAATAGGAGGACCAACGAGATGGCTTGCCTGGTAAAGGCACCAAGCCTGATGACCTGAGTTCAATTCCTGAGACTCACATGTTTGGAGGAGTCCTCTGGACTCTACACATGTTCTAGCACATGCGTGTGTGTGCACATGTGCACATGCACACACACAGATACACATAAATAAATAATAAATGTGTGATTTTAAAACAATGAATAATAAAACCAGATGAAGGTGAGGAGAATGACTGGAAGGGCACTGTGGATGGCCAAGGAAGTGTAAAACAGTGATGGTACAGCTGGGACAAGGGAAAAGCAGTGTGCTTTGCCAACAGTCACATGCATGGCACTGCCCTGGTGACCCTGTGCAAATGTAAGTATTTGTGAGGAAGGCCTACGGGAACCTTGTATGCATGCTGTCTAATAAGCTGTGAGTCCCTGTGGCTGAGCATGGGAGAGCACACTGAGCAGTGAGGTGCTGCACAGCTCCTGGAGTGCAGCACACCCTGCTCAAGACAGGAAAGGTATAGTCCATCCAAGTATAAGGTGGGCTTCGCAGGTGGGCTCTTGTCAGTAAAGAGGAACAGCACCAGTGTCCCTTAGAGGCCATCAGTTTCTAACATGATTCTCCCTAATGTGTTCATGTTGTAACCCAATCAAGAAGAGCTTAGCACCCACGACATTGAGCACACTACAGGGCAAGTGTTGAGCACGAGGTCTACCCACCAGCCCTGCCCATGAGACCCTGGCTCTGTCTTGCTGGTTCTCAGTGCACAGCTCTTCTCAAGCCCTTTAGCTTTAGCTCCTACTTCAGCAGTGTCTTCCTCTCTCTAGACACCCAATGTCACCTTTGAAAACATTTAAATCTTATGTTTAATATTCTTAGCAAGAATTATATATCTTATTAAGATGTTATTGAGGATTGTTATTGGCTTTGATACTGTTCTGATTACAGAATTTCATAGGTTTGGGTTTTCAAGTCCTCCAGATATATGTTAAGCATGTATATAGTATAATGGTAGTTGTACTCGAAGTCTAGGTATACCACAGTCCCTGAGAGAAGGGATGAAATTCAGAGCCTGTGCTAGACACTGATTAATTGAGTACCTCTGTGAGGTATTTCTCTTGAAAAGATGACAATGACTTAGTTGTATGCTGTCCTACATAAACTCAACGAAATTCCTGAACCGTTTGAATGTCTGCCTAAATCTATTTTCTGTGCTGCAGCAAAATACCAGAGGATAAGAAATTTATAAAGAATAGAAGTTTACCAGACTTATTGACACCTGCCTAAAATCCCAGCACTTGGGAGGCTGAGGCAGGATGATTTTGAGTTTGAGGCCAACCTGAGGTACATAGTAAGACACAACTGCAAAAGTCCTCTTTCTACTCCTTGAAAAAGAATAGAGATTTACTTGGCTCATAATTCCAAAGGCATTGAAGTCTAAGAGCTTGGTGCCGGCATCAAGCAAAGGCTTCCTGCTGCATCATGACATGGCACAAGGTATTGAGGGAGACAGAAATCAAGCCAGCCACACAGCTCACATTCAGAATGAAACTATTCCTTAGGATTAATCAACCCATCGGGGCAGAGCTCTTGTGAACCAGTTACCTCCTCTCAAATCCAATAGCATATGACTTCGGGGCTTGAACTGCATGAAGCCTGGGAACACATTCAGTCCGTAGCAATATTCTCTTCTTTTCAGCTGAATTACAAAGCAAAGCATGAAGGAGAGAAGTTCAAGTGCAATGTACCAGCAGATGCTCCTGAGTTTATCCAGCACAGAGTCAATGCCTATAACCTGAGTGATGTAAGTACAAGCCACAGAAGCCAGCTTGGCACACGGGAAAAGAGAAAATATGGGTTTCTTTAAAAAAACAAACTTGGAGCTCTGTAAGTGGTAACTGTGGAGGTGGCCACTAGAGAAGTGGAGCTTTTAAGACTCTCAGGCTTCTAGAACCCACTTAGTTGTCAGGTTTCACTTCCAAGACCTCTGTTATTGTTAGAAGCATTCTCTCTCACACACCTCTGCTAATCCCTAGAGTTTGTGAGCTCTCCCATGTTAATGTCCCATTTCACCGTCTCTAAGTGGTTATCTTTTATATACTACTTTGAACATAAGGATAACAGTCTTTAAAAAGTTCCCAAACTATTAAAAAGAGAGAGTACACTTTATATTTTAGTGCTGTGGAAAACAGAAACTCTATGATAAGAGTCAGTAGTTACTCCTATTTGGTTAATTTATCTGTGCCTGAAATAAGTTTACATATGCAAATTTTCAACATTAAAAATATTCTCTGGATTAATCTATGTTCGATGTCATCTTCCTAATTCCTTTTTGGAAATTTCCCAGAGTGCCTACAAGCAAGACTGGGAGAAGAGCAAGGCTAAGAAGTTTGACATCAAGGTGGACGCCATCCCCTTGCTGGCCGCCAAAGCCAACAGCAAAAATGTCAGCGATGTGAGTGTGGCCCTGGCCTGGGCAGGGGGCCTGGGTGCTCCTGCCCAGTGGGTCAGCACGTGTGGTGTCCTTGCAGGTGATGTACAAGAAGGACTATGAGAAGAGCAGAGGCAAGATGATCGGCGCCCTCAGCATCAACGACGACCCCAAGATGTTGCACTCCCTGAAGACGGCCAAGAACCAGAGCGATGTGAGTGTCTGCCTTGTTTTCAAGATGGCTTCCCTGATAACTTGTGAGGGAGGAGCAGGATTCAGTAGGAGAATTTCATACCCATGGGCTTTCTCACACAGTGATCTACATCTGTTTTATTATTTTATTATTATGAGCACTCATGCCCATGCTAGTGTCTCCTCACCAGCTCTTTATTCCTTCTCACATTCAGAAGGCTACAGCTGCCGTTGATCCCACATGGATCTCTAGCTTTCTTTGCTTTTTCATCCTGTTCCTGAAAGTTAAACAGTAGGCACAAAGTAATTCAAAGAATACTCATGAACTGATTGATGCTGGCAACTGAAAGATCGTCAGTTAGGCATTCTCACAGGACATCCAGGCTAAATGCTAAGCTGAGCATATGGAAAAGAATCTCCTTAAGGCCAGTTGGATCTTTGACAACCTTTTAAAATAGATTTTTCAGGCTAGCATACAAGTCATTTCATCTTGTTTCATCATAGCATCTTCATACACATATGCCGTCAGGCTGTGTCCGCATTTGATCCCTTTCCCCGCTGCCTTCCCTCTTGATCCCTCATCCCCTCTGACTGGCTCCCTTCCTTCTCCACTTACTGCCCCCCCAAAGCCCGTGCTTTTCTTATCTTAGGTACCTAACACTCTCTCTATTTCCCACCTCCCTTAATGTCTTTTCTCCCCTCTCTTTCTAATTTTATGACCTATAAACACACATA